GATGTCTGAATTCCGGATCATGTTGAGACGCGTACAGCCAGCGATTAGTCACAGGAAGTTCATTTCAGCGGCTTCGACGCGAGTTCGAAGCTTTTCAGTCTTGAACCACGACTCACGACCGTAGATAGGTATGGGGGTAAAGATCGACTTGAACTCCGAGAGCCTAATTTTGAGACTGAGCTCTGCTTTAGTCACGCAGAACGTCACTGGCTACTCCAATTGGCCGGTTGATCTCTTCCTCAAATTTTCCAGACTTCTAAAGTTCCATAGATTCAAATTCGCGACTGTCAATTTAACTTTGACAATTGCCAATTCAAAGATCATTCCTGAATTGATCCTGGTGAAACTGTCAGATGAAATTGCCAACTTTAAAACATACATGTGACGAAGGTTTTGTGTTCTGCTCACAAAGAGTTTTCGAACGCTGTATGAAGGAGAGATTAAATGAAGTAACTGATATAGACGACCACCAGCAAGTATGTTAACTCAGATTCTCTATCAGAAAACAGCGCGCTGACTAAGTGGTCTCGCACAGCTACCACAAGAAATCATAAAATACAATGAAAGTAATTGGCATTCATAATTTGACAAGAGCGCCGCATTTTACTCGCAGAGAGCTTTTACTACGGTTAGGCAATGTGACGGGTAAAGACAAATGATTGATAACGATGATCACCTGCTAATGACATCCATTCATACTTCTAACCGAAGACTGCGAGCTGTGGTATTGACATTCCACAGTCGTTTCAATGGAATTGTAATAAGAAATTCACCGGCTTGGCAGCTACATCGCATTTCACTCACAGAGTGCTACCTAGTATTATATAGCTGAATCACGCAATTGATGCAATTGACCGTTGTCCAGTTGTACAGATTCAGTGTGGCGGCCGCAGGACCAAGCGCTGACATAACCCAGCAGTCTGCTCCAAAACGGCTGTGCCAAAACGCCCCATTTCGGTTTTTTGAGCGACATATCGGAATATTTATACGGTATTTGAACTGCCCAAAAAAATCTAACGGAAACTTGCCCCTGCAAGCTAACTGTGATTGGCTGGGCAACATTCCAAACAATTTTTGCTGATTACCGAAATTCCGGTAATCGCAAAGGAATTGCTTATGGTCTGCATGATTATCCACTCGAGAACCGGAAGTCAACTAAATATCCGCCAGTATGTTTTTATAACAGGACCAGCCAGAGCCAGAAATTCAGTTTCATGATGATTGTGTTGTACAGCAGTGTTATTTATGGTGCAATAAACGTTTGATATGCCTTCTCGATTTATGATTCATCGAGCGGCACCGCGCCGACGCCACACCGTCTAGAGTGGTGATCCGTCCATACCAATGTAGACCGAAAATAATTTGCGGTTCAGTCCTAATCGGTAATACCGCGGCTTCAGTACATTATTATTAAGCTTACACCGATACCTAAGTTTCAACATTGCCGCTTGAGTGTTTGAGTTTAGGTCATGGCTCTGATAAATGCTGAGACATAGAGAGTAACGTGGCAGAAGACCCTTATTATCGTTGTAGATTGAGAGGCAAATTAGCTTCAGTCCATACAGACATGAACAGATTGCTGCATTGGATGGCAAAACATATACTGATATAATACGAGATATCCAATTAACAATGCTTCACCTGGTCCATATCTCCGCGCGTTTGTACCTTTCTCCAGAGCAGATCCAAGATCTGGAAATCTGTCTCGATATAGTGGATTTTCAAATGCTGCTGATATACAATGTTATGCCCATTGTTACACACAGGTGTAGAACATTTTTAGTCAGTTTTCGCTTAAGCCTCCGAAAGCGTCG